TCAGCTGCCCAGCTGACAGACGACATAAAAGCCTCAACTCTTACATGTGCCTCTAGGAGTAAGAACCCAGAATCTGTTTACTGTAATTAAGCTGTCTCAGGTTGTGATTTATGACGTATTGGGTAAAAGAGGTGTCATCTTATAGACTGGAAGGAGGAAGGATAATGTGCTGCTTAATTAGGCCATGTTGAAACTCTAGGTCAGCAATTATTACCGGTAGTTAACCCCAATAAATAAAACACAGGTAGGAATCAAAATGTGTGGAAGATAACTGAACACTCACTGAAAATGTGTTTGGCTGTGACATGAAGGTGTATTTTTTTTCACATGAGAGTGTCTGGTTTGACAAAAAGATGTTAGATTGTTGTTGCAGTCTTTTCTGAAAATGCTAGCGAGTGATCTGTTTGCACCACACTGTACGGGTTGCTTCATAATATGCAATGTTTTCAACTGTTTTCAAGGGTACCATCTGAACTGATCCATGTTGTATGCGTATTTTCGCATACCTCTGTTCAAATGCTCGTTTCACTGGTACAGTATCTCACGATTGGGGCTCGATAGGCTGCACTCAGCTGATTCTCCAAGTTGCCCATCGAGTGATGAGCATGAGATGGAATGGGAGGAAATATGGACTTTCTGTATAGGCTTGGTAAATTACTTCCACACGTGATTCCCCATTTGAGTGTGGAATGTGTTTACCATTCAACGTCTCTCGGCCTAATTTACTCAAATCACAACTTCCTGAATTGCATTGTCACTCACACCAACAAATTATGCATGGTGTTGGCAAAAAGTGTGGAAGAAGAATTGTGGATTTTTTTGTTGGTTTCTGAGGTTAAAGAAATGTTTACATGAGCAGAAACGTTTTCCCCACCACCTCTTATTTTGCCCATGCCACGTCGGCACTCCTGTAACAAGCCGATTTGCAGCTGCCTTTCAGATGTGATATTTCATGACGCAAAAGGACCACTTAATCAATTCAATTCAGATTTGATGACTCACATTGCTCATGCTAAATCATCCAAAACATGCAGAATGCACCGAAATGTTGTGCATTTTGCAAATGTATTTCTGAGTGCGCCTTGTTAGCTGATCAGCTTCCATATCTACTGTATCAGCACCCATTTCTACACATGTAAGCCTGAAGTCAATCAGGCCAATTGTTGTTCTATACAAACCACTTCACAATAATTTAACCGCAATATTACTTTCTGTTTTGCTTTTTCCTTTTTCAGTGAGCATCAAGATTTGGTTTTGTTGGGACTTTGTGAACTGATGTCTCGGCCAGCCCCGTCCCCAGTCTACACCCTGAGGGGTGCCAGTGGAGCCTTCAACGCCCTCCACTTCAGTTGCCATGAAGGGGACACTCCCCTCCTCTTCTCTGGGTAACACAGTCAATTCGTCCCCGCCACCCTCCTAAAAAAAAAGTCGCATTTTGTGTGTATTACCCGTAGTCGTGCTTGACCAGCTATTGTGGTACTGTATATCCAGTAGTATATTCCACATGCTTTATCATGTAACATATTGAAGTACAGCTAATCTCATAAGATAAAATGAAAAAAAAAAAAAAAACTTAGGCCGTAGGTGGCATGATATTAGACAGGTGTTACAGTTTGGCTGTCTTTTCCTTAACTTTCTTTTGTGTCTGGGCTAAACATTTTTAACCTTTCATTCTTTAAATTAGCCACTGAGCTCGACTTTACTATGTTTTCTCGGCATCAGGTATTATAATGTGCTGCTTAATTAGGCCATGTTGAAACTCTGGGTCAGCAATTATTAGTTAACCCCAATAAATAAAACACAGGTAGGTAGGAATCAAAATGTGTGGAAGATAACTGGACACTCACTGAAAATGTGTGTGGCTGTGACATGAAGGTGTATTTTTTTTCCCTCCATTTTTGCAGCTCAGGAAAGGGTGTCATTCATCTGTGGAATTTGAACAACAGAAGGACAGAAAGAATTATAGAAGGTCATTCTGGGAGTTCAGTCATTTGGGTCAATACACTTCACTCAGCAGATACACTCATTAGGTCAGTATGCTATTGTTGGTTCTATGCTCCTGGTTCCCTTCTATTAGTTGACTAAACATCTGTCCCTCTAATTTTTTTTTTTTTCTGGAATCCAGTAGTATATTCCACATGCTTTATCATGTAACATATTGAAGTACAGCTAATCTCATAAGATAAAATGAAAAAAAAAAAAAAAACTTAGGCCGTAGGTGGCATGATATTAGACACGTGTTACAGTTTGGCTGTCTTTTCCTTAACTTTCTTTTGTGTCTGGGCTAAACATTTTTAACCTTTCATTCTTTAAATTAGCCACTAAGCTCGACGTTACTGTTTTCTCGGCATCAGGTGTTATAATGTGCTGCTTAATTAGGCCATGTTGAAACTCTAGGTCAGCAATTATTACCGGTAGTTAACCCCAATAAATAAAACACAGGTAGGAATCAAAATGTGTGGAAGATAACTGAACACTCACTGAAAATGTGTTTGGCTGTGACATGAAGGTGTATTTTTTTTCCCCTCCATTTTTGCAGCTCAGGAAAGGGTGTCATTCATCTGTGGAATTTGAACAACAGAAGGACAGAAAGAATTATAGAAGGTCATTCTGGGAGTTCAGTCATTTGGGTCAATACACTTCACTCAGCAGATACACTCATTAGGTCAGTATGCTATTGTTGGTTCTATGCTCCTGGTTCCCTTCTATTAATTGCCTAAACATCTGTCCCTCTAATATTTTTTTTTCTGGATGGACAAGTCAGGGACGGGACATGAGGGTCTGTCTATGGAATCTCAGTCAAGGTCGTAGTGAGCTAATGGACTCTCTGAGTACAGAAAGTGTTGGATTCTGTCAGTGCTCCTTGCTGGAGACTGGACAGAAGACCTGCCTGCTCGCCTTTGCAGGACAACAAACCGAGGAGGTGAGAACTCATGATATTAAACTCTGTGATCACCTCCTCAACATGTACAGGTTGATTGCCGTAGAACTTTTACAAGATGAATTTGAAGCAAGCGATCAGCATTTCACTTTTATTTTCAGGCATTTACATTTACATCATATCCACAACTTAGAAAATAGCATTATTTGTAGTTTGTCATTTAATTTTAAAACAAGTGTGTGTCTGCAAAAGCAATGGAACAGATACTTAAAACATGTGCTAGTAAATAAGACTTGAACAAGAAGACACTATGTAATTTTTTTTTCCAGTTTAAATGGTTCCACGGTCTTTGAAGTTGTCATCAAAATACCCCAAGCAATGTTCCCTCTCGGTGGCACGCGTGCACAATCATGCACTGCTCTCACCCCCTCAGCACACAACAAACTTATACAGTGCATTAAAAAAAAAAGAAAAAAAATGAAACTTGACCTGTATTGGTATTTTTTATTTTCATATTCCCCTCATAAAATGAAATTTAAAAGTTGACTTGGCGCATGTGGTTGACAGAGCAAGAAAGACGGAAAATAGTTAACGTGTGGGAACATTTTTAACCCATTTGGTTAATTTTACCTAGTCTGGGGTTCTGTATGTGGCTTCTTAACAGTTTTGATGTACCTTATTAACGCAACATTACCCCTGCGGAGGGCTTGGTCTCTATTAATTATATGACTGCAATCAAGTTATGGCCTGTTTATATTATTACCATGGTGCCACATGCCGCACACACAAACGTTACCCCTGCAACACTTGTTCATGGGTGACACAGGTTGAAAAATAGTTGAAATGTGTTTGACATGTCACTTGGAGACGCGGCGTTGTCCAGCATTCGTGCTGTCCGCTCATCATCTCACCATTCCCCGCATTGTCGACCGGAGAAAATTGAAGCATATTACTTTGAAGGACGCATGAGCTGTCGATGGCCAATGTGTGATGCAAATTGCTGAGTTCTTGCAGCACCCCTCTGCCTCGCGTCATCAATGAATGAGCTGAAAATGATCACACTTTGACTGGCTCAGTCCAGGGCCGCGGCTAGTCCTTTGGGGGTCGGTCCTGACCAAGGAGATGGTTATTTGGTGAGCCACAAATCCCCCCCCCCCCAAAAAAAAAAAACGTGTGAACTATACCTCATATCAGGTTTATTTTCAGTAATGCAGACATCAATGGTTGTGTTGGCTATGGTCAGTGTTTGTGCAGTGGCTCTGAGAAGTACTTCTCAACTTGACAATTGCTCATTTTTTACCCATTCGCAGGTCACGCAAGTCTCTGCTTTTCATGTTGGTTACACCAATGACCACTAGCGTATTAGTATAGTCTTTACGGGCTATGCCTAAATTTGTAGACCTTAAGCCCCATTATTTTTGAATCAATGTAATGGGACTTATCTGGGTAGCAGAACACATCTGCCGTTACATGTTACGCTACTTTACTCACATTACAAAGGGGAGGGTTCACACAAAAGTTGGACGCACTCTATACAGAATGTCTGGAAATGAAAGCTGAGATGTTGAGCTCTTGTATTATATTCATCTTTTGACCAAGCAAGAAATAAGAATTCCAATGAAAGGACGTGGCCTCACTGTTCCAAGACTTTTGGAGCGCTTCGTTTTTAATCGACTTGTGCGAATTGGCATTCACCGGCTCGACTCACTGTTCCAAGACTTTTGGAGCGCTTCGTTTTTGATCGACTTGGCATTGCGAATTGGCATTCACCGGCTCGTTGAGATTGAGTGCTCGATAAAATCATTGTCTCTGGTCATTTGTTTGGTCATGTGTCATGCTCAACACCCGCTGGCCTGTAATGTCTGGTGCTGGGCCACTGTCAAAGTGGGTCCAGGGCAGCCTGTTATTCAGGCATCCTTTATTGCCTTCAGATTCATGTTACTTGCTCTGCTGTAGCGGAGCCACACTTGAAAGGGACAGAATAGTCACCTGATCCAACCCAATGTGCCTCTGCTAACCCCCATCTAGGCACCAGGGCGCCTTTGACTCCCCAGCACCTCAATAATACCATTGTCCCAATAGACGCAGCCAGAAACGCACACACACATGCATCATCCCAGACCAAGAAGGAGGCCACTGTTGATTTTGCCATTTTGTCTCTCCACTCAATTACACAGGCATAACTGGTGCAGACAGATGCTTATCATGCTCAAATATGAAACCCATGATTAGAAGCAATGATATCAAGACACTTGCCAGGATGCAGCAGCATTGTTTTCCACAGCCATGGACAAAAATGTAGTTTAGTCGTGTCAAAGTGAAACCAACACAATGAAATAACTTATTTGTTATTGCTTGTAATGACTTTGGTTTCTCGCCTGCTGATTGCGGCTGAGAGAAATTAATTAATAGCGGGAGTGTTTTATTTATGGTCTAGGCGATGAAACGCATGAACAGCAGATATCCTGGGGCACCGACATGTCCTTTAAGGCCCACTTTATTAGGTATGCATGTAAACATGCTGGACAGAAAAACTGATTGATTGCCTCAAGGGCTATCGGCTGTGAGGCCTAATGAGAATGGATATACGCAAATCTTCAACACCAGATAAAGTAGGAAGGACGTTTTGGAGCAATCTGGGTTGGCCTACATTGCCACAAGCTTCACTCGAGCTATTTAGAATCTGCACCAGTATGTGCAGGAAAAGACCATTCGTGGCATGTCATACGCCAGCTACCGCTGGATTTATTGAAGACAATGCGGTGGCTGGTCTCTAATGATGGATGGTGCCACACTGCTTGTTGCAGGTCCTGAAGCCACAGTGACAGCTTCAGGTTTCAGGGGGGGGGGGGCTCGGTCAAATTAAGCGGTTTACAAGATCTTTGATGTACATACACACAGCTGTGTATAAATGAGTCTGACTCTGATTGATGAAAAGATCAAGTCAAGTACAAATTTATTGTCAAATGCGCTGTATGTGCAACATACAGCACAGATGAAATTTCTTCCCTCTCAACCAGACAACAAGAGGAGCCGCTGCGGGTGCCCGCGCCGCCATCAAAAGACCAGTTAACATAAAATGACAACATAATACAATATAATAATACAATAATACAAAATAATACAGATGCACCCACACTGTAAAGGTATGAGGTTTGTGACACTGATGAGTGCAAAATTGTCTCTAGCTGTAAAGAAAAAAGCATGTGAAAGTTTTTTCACCCACACTTAAAATATTGTTCTCAACAGTCTTCTGTGTTTCCCTGAAGACAGCGAGAACTGCGAGCCTGATTGCTCATTAATCAAAGTTCCCATTTGGAAGGCCTTTATAAAATGCTTTAAAATGTGAATTTGTGTTTGTAACATGAGTTGAAAACTAGTTACTGTATGTCCCTTAGAGTTATGTATCATTTCACCAGAGCTGCATTTTTGTTTTTGTTTTTTTGCCCCTCATTAATTATGATGTTTCAACTGTCTCCTGTTTTCTGCAGCTTAAGATTGTTGAGCTATCCAGTAAGGCTCTGTTGTGCAGCCTGATACCAGACTCCAAATTGGGGATGGTCATGTGTGTCAAGCTGTGGCAGGTAAGCACCAAAGATGTCCACATGTAACGTTTCAGCACACTGAAGCGTAAATTACGTCTTTTGGTGTGTACTGTAAATAAATGTCTTTTGATTTTGCAGAATGAGAACTTAACTGCCATCAGGTTACAGTTTTTTTTTTCATTTGATGTGTTTAAATCTGCTCCTATTTTCACGTATTATCAGCAGACATTGTTTGCATTTTGTCCTCTTACTGTTCTGAATGTGAACCGAATGATGAGCTTCATCCAAGGAATATACTGAGCCATGTGTTTCATTTCCCGACATTGAGAAAAAATATTGATGCCAAGATACCTTTTCTTGTCTATTTATGTAAGTGCATATTGGATTCAGGGGGTTCACCCTGTCAAACTTTGAGGTGTAGTCAATTCTACCTTTTTTCCACGCTAGAGCTTTTTTATGCTTACTCTATGCTTCACTCTGATTGGTTAGCAGCCCATAACAAGGGGCACCAACAGGAAAGTCAACAAAAATGCGCACGCAAGACGTGGCACATAATTTAGAGCCCGACAGCTCGTTCTGGGCCATTTTTCCAAGCGTTTCTTCTCAACTTGCACAGTCCCAACACTGTAATTAGGGTGTTTGGAATGGCTCGGGGTTCTCAGTCATATATCAGCCTGCAGCTGTGCATCCGATCTGATCCCAGCACAAGTTTGCTTTCTGTTTTGTAAATTAACGAGTCCCTGTAATTATTGTCATGGTTAATAATTGATGTGCTTAGTTTGGAGCTTTGTAGGGAGTTGTTTTGAACATTGTGTTCCAATAAACATAACCAGATATCCTCAATTGCATTTTTTTTAAAATTGTTGTTGTTTTGTTTTGTTTTTTTCTCAGCAAACGGCATTTGTGTTTCAGTATGTTAAGTTATGATTATCAACTGCAAGTTGCTTCAATGCGGAATGCCAGGAAGTATAATGATCACTTATATCATAAGCAAATATATCACGACATTGTCATCAAGGACATGGCACCATTTAACTTCAAAGCTGAAAGACTCTCGTTCATTTCAGGCTGTTGCTTTGAAAAAAATGTGGTATACAGTATTTCTTCTTTCTGCTGCCTCAGACAAAGCCTGTGGAAGGTGTGTGCTCATTTGCAACACTTTTTGGAACTTCATCTTTGTTACTGGCCTTTCCAACTCTGGACACGTATGTTTGGAATGTGTTAGCTGACGCTGTACAAAAAAAACAAAAAATCAAAACAAACATCTGTAGCCCCCCTCCCCTCTCTCGCTCAATCTCTCTCTCTCTCTCTCTCTCTCTCTCTCTTTCTCTCTCTCCCCCTCTCTCTCTCTCTCTCTCACCTCAAGCGCTCTCGACCATTGAGTCAAGGCGGGAGCTTAAAGGAACAGAGGG